TAGGTTTGCTATGGTATATAGACAGTTTATTTTTATATGTTTATTTTGTATCCTGTTACTCTGATGAATTCATTCATCAAAGTAGAATTTTCATAATATATTATTTATGTTCTTCTAAGAGTAGGACTAGGGGCTGGGAATGTGGCTCAGGTGGTAGCGCTCCCATCTGGCATGCATGCGGCCCAGGTTCGATCCTCAGCACCACATACCAACAAAGATGTTTTGTCCGCCGAGAACTAGAAAATAAATATTAAAAATTCTCTATCTCTCTCTCTCCTCTCTCACTCTCTCTTTAAAAAAAAGAGTAGGACTAAATCTTTTGCATATAGAAATAATTTAACATTTTAACTTTCCTATTTGAATCCCTTTTATTTCTTTCTCTTTTTCTAAAATTTTAAGTACTGTGATTAGTGAGATTGGCAGCAATAAACATCCTTGTGTATTTCCTGATTTTAGAGAAAATGTTCTTCTTCATTTTACTATTGGCTTTGGATTTGGTATACTTGGTCTTTATTTTAGTAAAATTCTCCATTTCTAATCTCTCAGGACTTCGTCATGAGGGCCATTGAATTTGTCAAAGGCTTTTCCTGCCACTTCTTAAATGATCATGTAATTTTGCTCTTGATTCTGTATGTGATGTATTAGTTTTATTGATTTGCATGTATTGAATCATCCTGGATCAAAATCAGCTTTTATGGATTTTTTTTGTATCTGACTAGAGTCTCAAACCAGGAGCATGGTACTAAGGAACCACATCCCCAGCATCTTTTATTGTTCACTTTGATAACAGGTCTCACTAAATTTCCCAGGCTGGCTTTGAAATTACAGTGTTCCTCAAACAACCTGATGCTTTTCTGAGAGTATAGACCTACACCACTATGCCTGATATGTATGTTATTTTGTAATGTGTTGTAGAATGTGGTTTGCAAAGATTTTATGAGAATTTTTATACTATGTTCCTCAAAAATATTGATATTTAGTTTCTCTTGTTCTGTTCAATCTTCACTGTTTCAGTCAGGGTAATACTTTTCAGAATTGCTTTGGAAGCATCTTTCCTTTGCTCTTAAATGTAATGGGGCATTAATATCAGTTCTTCTTTAAATATCTTATAAAATGTAGCCATATATTCACCTCTGAACCTCTGGTTCATAAGGCTTTTTATTATTGCTTCAACCTAATTGCTTGTTATTGAGCTATGTTTTTCTCTATCTCTTTAATTCAACATTTTATGACATATTTCATTAATATCACTTAGATTTATTTATCTTTCAATTTTATTCTTTAAAATAGACTCAATTTTTCCCATTCATTGAAATATAAGTTTTCTAGTAGTCTCTAGAGATCTTCTGGATTTCAGTGGTATCTGTTTCAATATTTCACTTTTTGTTTCCAGCTTTATTCATCTGTATCTTCTTTTTTCTTTTAATTCCCTTGGCCAAGGGTTTATCAATTTTATTTACCATTTTAGAAACAATATATTTGTTTCATTATTACTATTTTTAAAAAATATCTATTTTATAATTTTGGCTCTGACTTTAATGAATTCTTTTCTTGTATTGGTTTTAGAATTCATTTACTGAGGATTTTCTTAGACCTTGGGATGCATTATGAGGTTTTTAAATTGAAACATCTTAGATTTTCAAATGGAGGTAGTCCTTAGTATAAACTGTCCTCATACAACTGCTTTTGGTGGATTAGTGGAGAGATATCAGAAGGGTTAGAAAATGTACTGGGCAGTAAGATTTGTCTAAATATGTTATATGCATTTCTGTATAAGTTATAATGAACCCCATTATCTCATATATATATATATATGATCCACAACCCTAGCACTCATGTTGATAGTTCTCTATGGTCCTTCTATTCGGGTTTTATAGAGTTAGTAGACAAATGAATATAATATTTGGCTGATTTGCAGAGAATATATATAACACTGTGATATAAAATATTTCAATTTTTAATGTGTACTCTTCTAGTTTTTAAATTATTTCAAATCTGGAAAATTAGGTGTCTCCTTAGAATACTGATTAGGCAATCTTCATATAATTCATTAGTTGTTTAATTTTACCAGACAACTATCTCTCAGATTCTTCCTCAGAATAGTGTTGGTCATTCATTTGGATGAACATCAAAGAGAAAAAGATGGTATAAATGAGCATACAGAAGGTAAGAACCACTCATTATAAAATCATTGGATATAATGCATTTTTAAAACATGAGCACTAGTATAATTTAATAGTGGAAGAAATGAAAATAATAAATAGTATGGGAGTTGAAATAGTGTATCTTATCAAGTTGCAACCACAGGATAAGTTGGAGTGGTCTTAGAGGAGCTGAGTTATTAGTTCCAGACCTGCTAAAATTAGAGGAAAGTTGGGACATAAGAAAGGGGAGAGAAGAATTCGGAAATGAAGAATGAGTAAAGACTACAGACAACAACAATCAAAAAAAAAGAAAGAAAGAAAAAGAAAAAAATAAGCAGATACACATTGATGATGGCCTGATAAAACATTTCTTGGAAATATTATGACTTTTAATACATCTACAAATTAGAGTACAAAAAAGGGAGAATTTTAAATAGGTGAAATAAATGGCCAGGCACATGGTGCATGCCTATATTCCCAGTGGCTCTGGAGGCTGAAGACAAAGAAATAATTTTTATTTTAAAGCCAGCTCAGTAACTGAATGAGGCCCTTGGATATTCAGCAAAACCCTTTCTTTAAATATAAGTTATAATAATATACTTATATTTAAAGAATATAATATTTATATTATAAATATAAGTTATAATTAAATATAAAAAGCAATGTAGATGTTGCTAAGTAGTTAGACACCCATGGGTTCAAACCCCAGTACCAATAACAAAATAACAAAGCAAAAGAAAACATCAAATAAGCATGTTAAGTTAGAGGAATTGGTAGAAGACTAAGCATGCATAAGAACTCTAAAATTTTGTTGAATCATATGTTGGGGACCATGTACAAAATGTATGTTCTGACTCAGCAGGTTTTTGGTTCTACATCGTGAATACATTCAAAGATGCTGCCAATGCTCCTTGATTCACAGACTACATTCTGTTTTGCAAGAGCAGTTGAATGAATTGTCCTTTAGAAAATCTAAATTAAGAGCCATTGTGTCTTAGTTCATGGCATAACTATATTAAATTAGAGCATAATTCTTACTTTGTTTTTTATTATGTCTGTTGGAAAAGGGGAAGAAAAAATGGATGAAACATAGAAATTGTATTTTTTAAATTTTTTTGTAGTTGTACACAATAACTTTATTTATTTATTTATTTATTTATTTATTTATTTATTTATTAAAAGTGATGCTGAGGATCTAACCCAGAGCTTTGCACATGCAAGGCAAGCATTCTACCACTAAGCCTTAACCCAAGCCTCCAATTTATATTTTTTTAAAGATTTTTGACTTGTAAATTGACACAATACCTTTATATTATTTATTTTATATAGTGCTAAGGATTCAACCCAGTACTTCACATGTGTTAGACAAGCGCCCTAACACTGAGCCAGATCCTAGCTCCTAGAAATTGTATTTTTAAGAAACAGTTACTGCATTGGGAAGAAAAAGTAGTGGGAATAATCTAAACAACAACAACAACAACAACAAAAGAATCAAGACTACAGGTCTATAGATAGCTTTTGAAAATCAAAGGGAGGGGGTAGTGAGGAGGGAATAAAATTAGCTAGGTAATTTTTAAGGTAATAATAAGAAGACTGAGGTAATGCATTTCAGCTGGTTTCACTATATTTGCCTTCAAACAAAAGTGAGAATTACTGGTCAAGAGATGGTTTTAAGCAGGGAAAACTGTTAGAATTGGGGCAACCAGCCACTTTAATTCCTTTGCTCCATAACTACCAAGTATAGGGATGTATTGATTTAAGTATTTGAGATCAGAAACATAGCATTTAAGAAACATGGGGCATTTAAAAAGACAATTAGTTTTTTTTTTATTTAAACAAACCATGCCTTTGAGCATGCTAGGAATGCACTCAATTACTCTGCCAAGTCCTTTTCTCTAAATAGCTAGTATTCTGATATGACAGATATTTTATGAAAATCTTTGAAAGTCTAAGAAGTTATATCAAACAAGGCTCATTTTGTAAACAGCAGAGTCTTTAGGTTAATTTGTTGAATACTAAAGCTGTTATTTTTTGTACATATGCTAATAAATTTGAAATATAAAAGTTTTTTCATGTCTGATAATTCTTTTGCATTTCAGTTCACTTTTCCTCTTTAGATTACCATATATTAATATTTTATTCTTATTAAAAATTATTTATTAGATACAGTTCCTATGTCATCTCAAATGAATGAATCAAGAAACTTTGAGTGGGTCAGACCAGAGAATATATTAAAAGAAGATACACCACTGTCCTCCATAGGTATGGAAAATGATTATTTTAATAAGTGTATACCAAAGCTGATCATTTGTCAGAACTTTTCTCAATGCAAATTAATTATACTTTTCACTTGACGGTTATCACAACTTTGGACTTACTATATTGTAGGACAAATGGAGGAACATGATACATACCTGTAATAAAGTTAATGAAATGATTGTGATAGGCTACATTAAACAATTCTGCTGTTAAATTTTTATTTTCTTTATTTTATATATTTATGGCCCAAAGTTTCTCCTTTGCTCCTCTGATTAGATATCCCCATTCCTTTAATCAATCCGCACCTTTACTTGGTATGTGTGCGTTCCCTATTATATTTGTGGTAATTGGAAATGTAATCTCACTTTTGAAAACTTAACTATATGCTTAATTAAACTAATATTGGATGTTTTTCTTCAATATATTTGAATCATGCTGCTGTACTCAACAAAAACCAGCAAACACAGAAGTCCAAATGTTAAAATATTATTTATCAAAGCTAACCCTTGGAACTTGACTCCATGTCAATTCAGCAGGAAGGTGTGGGTGATTTTGTCATATTTATGTTTTGAGAATTGTGTATTCCTTTTGCTTTTCAGTATTTCAGAATTTCACACATCCTGTTGTGCAGGTAATTATAAACTTCTATGTTTATCTTGAATTATTAACGGTGTATAGTATAAAATGTACAACACGTATTTAATATCTACTTTCCAAACCCATACAGCCTATCTTAGACAGGAGGTATTTTCTTCAAAAGAATACAGTGGGGACAACAGAAGAAAGAATATGCAAATCAGGTAAAAAATATATATACATATACATACATACACACATACATACCCATTGCAGTGTCTATACTGGCATACAAGTTTAAAATTATATCTTTAAAGTCACAACAAAATGATTTCTAAAAAAATCTTTATCTCAGACATTTTTAAAATTAAATTTCCAGGAATTTTTATACCTTTTAGGTGAATTATGCGGCTCTATTTACCTCCAAAATTTTATAAAAACTTATTGCATAGCTGCCAATAATTTTCACATCTTGGGAGATAAACATAAAAATATGTGTCTGAACCCAGAGATTAAGTATAGTGTGTGAAAAAGACCCAATCAAAATTTAATTTCAATTCTATTAGAATACCCAATTTATTGAATAATTACATTGAACCCGTGTTGTACTTTATGCAGCTGTGGATTCTATGTCCTTCATCAGTTGTGATTATCTCTGTATTAAACCATACAAAGTATTATTGTGTATTTTTTATATTATTCATTTTCTATAAAACTAATAGAGTATTTTTAGGAAATTACTCTTTTATGATTTTTATTTACCCAGAGTTGTGAATTCAAAAATACTTACACAAATCACTTTATATATTCCCTCTTCATGCTTTTATTTATTTATTTATTTATTTATTTTTTTGCTTTTGTTTTTAGTTTACTTTTCAATGGTGGGGACTGAACACAGATACTTTGGCATGCTAAGCAGTGGCTCTGCCACAAAGCTTTTCTCTTAATCATTGGAAGGTTGGGTAAATCCAAGATTCAGGGAACTGACCCCCAAGCACTAAAATGAGTCCCTTAACATACAAAAATGAGAAATTAAAATATTACATAATAAACCCAAGGAACTTATACAGTTGGTATGTTTTACTCTACATGTCATTTGAAACCTTGTGTAACAGTACAGAGCCTCTTATTCCAGAGACCCAGATTTGTCCTTTATTACTTAATGGAACTTCATGCTACTCTGGTTCCAGAAAATGATATATCCTCTATTTCTCATAGAACATTTGTTCCATTCTGGCCTGCTTCCCTCTATTTGGCACTCCTGCCACCTTCTTATTCATTTCTGCTCATACATATGCTCTCCACACTCATCCTATCTTCAGCATTTGGAGCCATCTAGCTACAATGCAAATGTGACTATGAACCTCTCTAGAAGATAAAAGGCCAGCTTTTAAAATTACCCAGAAATCTTTCATGCCTTCAGCCTAACACTTTATCCTTTCACTTAATTTTACTGTCATCTTGATGGCTCCTCACCAATCCCTATATTTTCAGACAAATACTGACCCATTTAATGCTTCACTCTGTGTCTAGCCTTTTAAGCTTTTCCCATTTTCTGCCTCTTACTGGTAACCTCATTCCTTTAGTCTCTGCTGAATCCTAGCTCTAGGAAAGCCATTATTCCTGGCACCTTTTTACTCTATTCTCATAGGGAACATAATAACTCTCCGTTCAAATAAACTGTTGATGCTAAGGTGATATAAAAGAGGTCTTCTCAAGTTCAGAAGCCAAAGGGCTAGCAGGGGAAGAAGTAATTTACAAGTCAACTGAAAGGTACCCAGTTGAACAATGGCTGAAATGCTGAGACACCTCAAGGGGGTAAAAAGCAGTTTTTGACAAGGAGATTGATCATCATGCAGGACTGAACAGACTAAGTCTTACAGAAGAACACATTTGTTTAGAGTAATGTAGAAAAATATTGCATATGCAAGATGTTCATTGATAACAGTAGAGTCTAAGTCACTGTGGAAATGACTACTGATGAATAGTTGTTTTTAAAAGTTACTGTTATGGGAAATAGAATACCAAATTGTGTGTATCCCCACATTTCTATAGTGTTTTTAAAATTTAATTCTGGCAAATTTTCATTCATCTTGAGTGGATATACCTTTGAGATGTTCTGGTTTCTTAAACGTGGTGATACATAGTGTCTCCTCAGGTACACTATTGAAGTTTTATACAACTAAAAACATTCCCTGAAAAAATTCTCTGCTGGGTACAGTGGATCACCTCTAACCACAGCTATTGGGAGACTTAGACAAGAGAATGTCAGTCTCAGGCCAAAAAAAAAAAAAAAACACTTTAGAGAGACCCAGTTTCCAAAAATAAACAAATATACAACTCTGGCAGAGCTCTTGCAAATGTTGCAATGTTCTAGGGTTAAATCACTGAGTACACACAAGTATACGCCACCAATAAACAGTTAAAGAGGTAATAGCACCTAAAATTCAAGCTTATTATTACTTTTTATTTTTGGCAGACTATCATTCTCTCTAAATGTTCTAAGTTGTTTACGTAAATCTACATACATTTTTCAGCTGAACCACTTTGTTTCTCATCATGTGAAGAAGAGGAGGAAGGTCTTGATGACACCAAAAATAAGCAGCCACAGGAGTGTTCACTCAGATATGTTTTTTAAAACTTCTGATTTCTTACTGTATTCCTTGTTTTAAGAAAGTCAATATGGGCAAATTTGATTACCTTTTATAACAGTGGTTTGAAATCTAAAAATTATAATTTAATATTGAAACCTAATAGAATTTAACTGGTTATGAATCTGAAAATAGCATTATAATTCAGGATAACATATAGATAAATATTATCCTTGTGATTCGGGCAGATTTTTTTTCTGAATATTATTTGGGTTTCTGTTTTTTTAACCCCTGAAAATGATGAAGAAGTTAAAATTAGTGGTTTTGTTAATAACCATTTTAATTAATGAACATATATAGTGGTGATGGTCATTGAGTACATTTATGGTAAAAGATGGTCCTTCCCAGTGGCTCAGTTTTAGCTACATATAAACATGGAAAATCACACCCATCTTAGGTGCTCTGTGGGTATCACAGGAAGAGTGAGTGAAAAGACACACATACATGCAGATCCTAATCAGACAGTAATTTCAGACCAGTTTTGCTCATACACTCAAATGTGCATAGCTCACACACCCATCCCATGGATGGCTGGTAAAATCCTTGAATTCATTTACTATTCTAAAAGCCAAAATTCTGGGTTTCATTTGGTCTGAGGCTCTCTACGGTGCTTCTCCCGGTTTTCTTTTTTCCAAAGCTGATCTTTTTTTATCCAGAATGCACACAGGAGGCAATATGACTCAAGCTCTGAAAAATAGTCAGGAAGTGCTGTACATTTTTGTTCTGTCATTTTTCTTCATTGGTGTACTTTTTAGTTCTCTCTCAGAGGAACATGTTGTTTACTCTACCCAGATCCTGTGTGTTGCTCTCTAACAGTACCATAGAAACATTTCTTCACCCTACTTTGTCATTTTATTAAACTGGATTTTCTCTAGTGAAACACTTACTATAAGCTCTTTAGATCCTGTGAGACTGTGATGACCAAAATGAGGCAAGTTTAATAAAGTCTTATTCCTGCTCAACATCACATAATTCCAAATCTCTTATCACACTGAGTCTCATAAGTCTGTTATTTAAAACATGTAATGCAACATAATATTAATAATATTTCTCAAGAATGTTTAATTAAGTATTTAATGCATTCTCATCTTGTGGGGTTGTGATATATGGTTGTTTACACTTTAGAATACATGCATTTATGTTATTAAATTTTCAGGGAATACCTTTTCTATGATATTCATCCTGCTTTTACCAAATCAGGAGCCATTGGAAGACAAGAGTTCAACTTCATCTGAAGCACAAATTCTAGGTTGCCCTGTGGAAAATATGACTATACTTATCTATATTTTAGTTAGCTGCTTTTAAGACCAAAATTTGGGTGATGTCTAAAAGAGTGATAGTGAAGTTTTCATGTAGCTCACTGGGGTCTTTTATTTTGCAGGTATATTCTGAGGGTGGTCCACAGATGTGCATTTCTCACTCATCTGAAGAGAAACATTATATAGCAAAAGAGAAAGCAGATGGACATGTTCATGGTAAGAACTACATACTCTACACAGTTCGTTGGACAGAATATTGATTTCTAACATGAGTGCTGATTTATTCTAATACTTTGAAAAATGAACCTAGTAAACAGGTAATAATGAAAAAGTGAGGAAGATAATGAGCTGTCTCTCTTAAGACCAATGTCCAGCAGCAGGGTATAGTGGGAGTGTCCCTCTTAGTTTCTATACAAGACATGCATAGATCATAGGGGAGTTGGAAATTGTGAAGTAGAGAGGATAAGGGTGAATACACATTGGAAAAGGCAGAGAGAGTGAATGTAGCAAGTAAATGAAGGAAAAAGAAGCCATGAAGGCTGATAAATTTCAGTCATGTACCAGAATAAAAAGACCACCTGTTCAAAATATGGAAGAAAAGTGGGAGTTTCCCGTTGTGCAAATGACTCAAGGTGTGAATATTTTTTCTCACCACTCATTTCTGAGTTGTCATTAGAAAGAAATTGACATGTGAAGAACTTATCATGAAGAAAGGAAGTTTTTCTTTCTTTTTAAGTGAAATGTTCATAAATCCATGTGTCTGGTCATAAATTTATATAAAACAATATTGTAATTAAAACAAATAAAAAATAAAAATACCTATATCATAGACATTCTTGCCACTACCTGGGATGAAGCACAGATGGCAGACA